CCTCGGCTCACCCCACCCCTCCTCTCCTTGTTTTCAAGATCGCCCAAGAGGAAGAGCAAGTCCGGGCGGAGGAGCCGGTCCCCGCGGGGCAGGAGGAGCCGGAGCCCGCACCACGCCGCCGTGAAGGTGAAGCAGGTAAATCGCGTTGTCGGTAGCAGCGAGGCCCGGTCCTGCCCGCGGAGGTGTTAGCGGGGCCTGGCATGTTTCCTGGCTGCGCAGCGACTGCGGTTCCTGTGAGACTCGGCTGTGCGAGGTATGGAAAGCGAATTCTTACCTAGCAGTTCTTCTCTTCTAGTCCTTGTAGCGTGTTGTGTTGGGAAAAGAAAGGTCTTGGCGTTATAATAGCTTGTGCTGCCCACCTCAGCGGCAGGGTGTGCACACGTGTGTGTGTGTGTGTGTGAACCCACCCAGTCTTTGCCACTTATGCAGGCTGTCCATGCAAGCTTCTCCATGTGCCCACAGCAGATGACACATTGTGTTGTTTCTTGCTCTTGCTTTGTTCAGCGCAAATTGTAGGACTCCAGATAGTTTGGCAAGGAAATAAGTTTCTCTTGCTTTGTGTTAGGTCTGCGCACAACACGTCCAAGTACAGTTTTCCATGCGTTGGACTGGGGTTTTCTTAAAGGCTGAAGTAGATCCACTGCTCTTTCATTCTACTTCTGAATACGTCACTATAAACAATTCTTCGTTACAGGAGCGAGACGATCATTGTCGTAGAGGAAATGAGGAGCGAAAGCAGAGATACCCATCAGAACAAGACCACAGGGGAGAGAGAAGTGGTGACAGAGATAGACACAGAGACCACTCAGACAGAAGGAAGAATCCAAGTGAAAGGCCTGGAGCTCGAGGCCACGAGCGAGAGAGGGATGTTCAGAACATCCGTGAGCAGCAAGCAGAGAGGGAGTTTTATAACGAGAGAAGACGAGAGCATCGACAAAATAACGAAAGCAGTGGTGTTGACCAGAACCCAGAACTCGGGCAATCTGATAACAAACCTAAAGAAAAAGCTGCTGTAAATAAAGAGAAGCCAAGCTTTGAACTGTCTGGCGCGCTTCTAGAGGATACCAACACTTTCCGAGGTGTTGTGATTAAGTACAGCGAGCCCCCTGAAGCTCGGATTCCTAAGAAGCGGTGGCGCCTCTATCCTTTCAAAAACGATGAGTTTCTCCCAGTCATGTACATTCACAGGCAGAGTGCTTATCTTCTGGGCAGGCACCGCAGAATTGCAGATATTCCAATCGACCATCCCTCCTGCTCAAAGCAACATGCTGTGTTTCAGTACCGGTAAGTATTACCCTGCCTGCTGCTGAAATGGGATCGTTCAGGAGCTTGTGAAGAGGGGGGAAAAAAGCCCCAACAAACAAAACCCCCTGGAATACACACAGTTGAGAGGTATGAGTTTGCTGTAAGTACGTTAGAGATGGAATTTATGTTTGACTGCTGCATATCATCCCAGCGGTAATCAAAAACATCTGTATTTCCTCTCATTTAACCACAAGCAGCCTTTTAGTAAGACAAATAACACAGCAGGGTTAAACGCAGAACTGTGTGTATATCTGAATTGGAATAAACCGGCAGGTGTAATTGGCAGTAAAAGTATTTCAAGGAGAGGTTTTATTCATTTGGTCTTTTACAACAAAGTCTGCTGATCTCCTGTGAAGCAGCAGGGCTTGTGTGCTGCTGGAGACAAAGATGCTCTCTTAGGGAACAGCCATCTGTTCTGCTGTAGGAATTACTGTATTATATCCTCAGAAGTTTTAGGTGATGCAGTCTGTCGGAGTCTGCTCAGTCTCACAGTTTCTCAATGCTCTCATCAGACTTGTTCCGATCGCAGAAGTACAGATAAGTATTAACTGCACTGGGGCTCATGTGTTGGAAAACCCTTCTGCTTTTGGAGTACGCTTTCTGTCCCTGGCTGTTGTGATTGAAATGGTGTTTTCTGTTTTGCTAGGCTGGTGGAGTACACTCGCGCCGATGGTACCATTGGCCGCAGAGTGAGGCCCTACATAATCGACCTGGGCTCTGGGAACGGCACTTTTCTAAATAACCAGCGGATTGAACCTCAGCGTTATTACGAACTAAAGGAAAAGGATGTACTGAAGTTTGGGTTCAGTAGCAGGGAATATGTTCTTCTCCATGAATCTTCAGATAAATCTGAGGCCAACACAAAGGACGATGATGAGGAGGAAGAGAAGGAGGAAGAGTCTGACAGTTAACAGATGAGGAGGAAGGGGGGTTTTGGGGAGAGAAGTTCTCTGCAGTTGAACATGCATTGGGGTGTAAATGTTGGAGCATCACAGCACTGATGCCTCTTACTGCCTTAAAGTCCTTTTTCTGTTGCTGATCTGTTCTTATAGTTTATTTTGGGGGACTTCACTGATTATTCATCTTTGATAGTTCTGCACATTGGGAAATACGGCTTTTTTTTTTTTTCCTCCTGCTGTTTTTCCCCCCAACAAGCAAAGGAACACCTGGATGTGAAAAGCTCCGATGCTGGAAATATTCAACAAACATTGGAAGACTGTCCTGTTCTAGGAAATTATGTAAAACACAGCTGGCATATTTAAAATTATTTTTATTAACTTGTTCTGTTATAGCCCTTTGAAAATGCTACTCAACTGAAATATTAGTTAGAAAGTAACCCAATGCATTTTGTAACACGTCTTATTTGGTAGAGTTTGCCAAATTCCTTTGCCTGTTAGGAGTTCTAGACAGGAGAATTTATCAGGCTCGCTACTAAAAAGGCAGAAATGTTGCAAAGCCCCTCTTGTGTTTTGGGTAGTTAGTTTGCCTTGTGATAACTTTCAGGGATGCGCATTTCACTGGAATACAGTACCTGAAAATTGCAAGGTAACCTGAAATAGAAGTTAAACGCCTCCTGGGATTTGGGGTGACAATACTGTGATTTGGGGGCTGCAGTCCGGATCAGGGTCTGCCCAGTACTCATTGCAACATGCGATGTGAAACTGTTACTGGATGTTGAGTGTCCAGGTCTAAAGCTGAGGCCTGTTTCTGGTACCACCCCTGCCCCATGAGTAACTCCTCCTTGGTTTTCGTTTGTATTACACATAAATATCTTTTATGTGGTGACATGTGTTAACCGGAGTTTGCACTATTTAAGTTTTCTTTTTATAAAGTTATACTATCACTTGTTTAAAATATTCTTCTCCCCTGTAAAAGGAAACAATGCTTTAGGAAGAGAAAACCCAATTCCTCTCACTGAAAGTATTTGCGTCTTGTATATTTTTGGATGTCTTCTCCCCCTGGTTTGCTTTATGGTATAAGAAATGTACATTTTCCACACTCTTTACTAGTTTGCCTGGCTGTTTGTTCTGTGGCCACCAGCTATTCATACCTGCTGTGTATATTCTTTGTGTATACAAGTGGTGCATATTGTATACACGGGCCAGAACGTTTATGGTGTAAATATGGGGCATTGCTGTAGGTTTTCAAAAGGTAGGTAGAAGGAGTTTTGACTCGGAGGATCTCCTTTATATATATTCTAGGGGTTTTTAAATAAAGAATTTGTAAATTTAGCCCTGATTACTTGAAGTTGTAATATTTTTCTAGCGGCCCTGTTGTTTTTTTTTTCTTTTTTTTATTTATGTTCCTTGCACCTTTCAGTGCTCATTTCAGTATTGACACCGGAAAAAAAAAATTAAAAATAAATAAAAACGCGCCATCGGTGTAGGTGGGCGGTGGGGGGGGGTTGCTCGGGCCTCTCTC